GCAACATCAAGTACATTTTTCTTTAGTGACATTACCAGCTGTCAACGATATAAAAAAAACGCACATGTAATCCAGAACTTCACATGAACGCAACAAACGTTATGATAAACTGCTAGACATCAGCAACAAGAAGCAAGAAACAATAAATAACAAATTTAAAATATTTTCCTGGGAAATAATTTGCCATGATTCTTGATAACTCTAATTACTAAACTAGCGTGCGCACCTGAAGACCATAAGGCGGCGTCACACGGGCACTTGTACCAGCATTTTTAATTTTCTGCTAGTACTAACTGCTGGTTTGGGGGGCTAGCGGCTAGTTTCACCTGCCAGCAGCCAATTTCTCCAGGTCGACGCAGTTTTGGTCTTGGAATAGCAGTTACCGCCTCAGCGTCTAACAATTTTCCGGAGTCAGAAGAGAACTACTATTGTATTATATTAAAAGTTAAAAGAAACTGTTCATTAATTATATATATTGGTGTGGTGAACAGCTATCGTCCAGCTAGTTACAATATAAACATAAAAAAACAGTAAAAAGACAAGAAAATTTTCTACAACAGTTAATTTGAATCAGTTAAGGTTCGGAAAAGGTTGACCACGGAATTTCATATTCGTATTTATATAGGGAGTTAGAGCAAAAAACTAACTTAAAACTAACAAAAAATACTTTATCAAATCACGTTTCCAGCGCAAATTTATATTTTTCGAGTATTTTGGACTTTGATTTCACTGTTTCCATCTGACTTAAGCACCAATCACCGTGTCCCATTGTCACGTGACACGCTAGGGGTCATGTGATTCTCCTGCGCTTCCCCCAAAATCCAATTCCTCATTCTCGAATTTTTTTTTGGGCTATCGCAAGATGGTTTATATCTGCCCGGGTGTTATTACACAGCTTGGCAAACCATTCATCATGTATTAGAAAACGAAGCCGCTGCCATTTACATTTTTAAGGCGCTTGGTATTGTGCCAACCTTTGTGAAGTGCTACAGGTGTTCATACGTAAAATATATTAGAACGATTGTGGAAGAATATCAAGAGTTTGGTGTTTCGTGCCGACAATGAGAAGGAACATTACCAACAAAATATTTCACTCTGTACAGCACATGTTCCAAGCCGAATACAGTAATCGCAAGACTATACTTTATCCTCAGGTTAGGTTAGGTTCTGGTTTTTCTTGTTAGAAGCTTTCGTTTCGTCAGTATTTTTGCGTGATTTTTCTTCAATTTCCCTCTACTTCAAACCCCTATCTACTGTTTGCAACCAGTATTGTTGGTAAATGAGAGGAAGGACCACAGTCTCCATAACGGCTCATTTGCAACGGATGTGAATGTCAGGTAGCTTGAAACACCCCATCATACACTAGGAAACACTGTTTGTTTTTTGTATTAGTTTCCATGGTCTACCTTTTCCGAGTCTTTAGCCTCCACCCGTTCATATTTAGCACAACACAAAGCAAGAATTGTAAGAGCTAAGAATTCATCGCAATAGTACTCGGACGCGTGAGAAGACCTTAGTTGCGGCGTAGTAATACATTATAGCTTTTTTTTAAATCTCCGCGAAATACATAAGAAGAAACTATTTGGGTTAACAATTTTCCATTTCAATCATTTACAAATATTAACCGTAAAGAATTATACCAACACAGTAGACAAATCGTGTTGTTACTAGCTACTTTGAGGTAACAAATAAGGAACAGGATACAGGTACGGCAGCCGTATGTAATGAATATATAATGATAGTAAATTATAGTTACTAAGATGGCCTTCTTTCTGACAAACCTAATCTAACCAAACCTAACCATGAACAGTCTGTCAATACGGCACTTGTTCTTTCCGTGTATTTAAGAAAGTAATAAACCTATTAACGTTTGTAGTTTTATCTTACAGTACTTAACCAAAATATAAATTGCATGAGGATGGTTAGCAACTTACAATTAACTAAGTTGTGTACCAGTTTGTTACTTAACACTGGAATTCCGTTGATTTGTTAAAGTAATAATATCACTGCGCTTTAACAACTAATGTCTTAAAGCGTGTAACTAGGTCAGTAATTTCACAAAGTCGATCAACAATTACAAGGTAGAGCCTCGCCTGATAGTAGTAAATACTTGTGATAGTCGACGGCGGAGAAGCAGATTACAAAAAAAAATTTTTAGAAGTATTATAATAACTTGTATTTGTTGATTTCCTGTTGACGTTTTAGTTGTGTGTGTGTGTGTGTGTGTGTGTGTGTGTGTGTCAGGTAGTCTGTAATGTGATGGTTCCTACCTCACATATATTTCAGTGAAGTGAACGAATAATACGTAATGGTTTAACCCCTGGAGTACTACAATGTTATCTCATGGGAACAATGCATTAGTCCAGAGGGTAAGATATCTTTACCCCTGACTTAACTCATGGACCTTTAAAAGAATGACAGTTTATTTTCGTCAGTAGGAGAAATACCGAGAGGCTGTCTGGTGTAAGGATTATTTTTATTCATGTTAACAATAAGTGAACGAAATTAATTTATTATCTTCAGCACCCTTCGGAAACATGTACAGTAATATTGACATTTGTATCTGCATAAAATATGGTGCCTATAATACTGGATAAGTGATGAAAACTACACAGAAGTTCTCTCGTTAATGTTAAAGTGAAAGAGGATGGTTCGTGGGGTAATAATTACATTAGACTTGATAAGGAGTTTCTCACGAGAGCACCATTAATGTCATCAAGCAGACCAAGTTCATGAACTGTTAATTGGAGTTGAAGACAAGACACCAACGTTTACCAAGAGAGCGCACACCTTCTCTGGATATTCAAAGGCTTCATTTAATACACAAACACTTTAATAATGTTGGTAATTCTATTCACATCCGCATCAACACACCTGCAACACACCCCTACACCTGCAACAATGGACCATGCAGCCGATCACTATGTTACGGTAAGGAACCTCTCCATTTATCTTTGACATTTTCACCCGTATAAAGCACTCCAGTTTATCCATGATTTTTTTGTGTGTGTAATGTTGAATAGTACTAAATGTGCTGTTGAGTAAAATTAATGGGAAAATCTCTACCTAACACTCATCAATTATATTGTTCTTAAATTATATATCTGTAACTGGCCTTTATTTAGAAAGTCGGCCGGCCCGAACTGTTAGGATTTAGCTTTACATTAGTGATGGATTCAGGAGCTGATGAACCCAGGGAGGACGGATGATAGTGGGTAACTTGTATGGATAAATGTTCAAGATGAAAGTTGTTACAGTTCGTACCCGTTGCCACGACTAAAGACATGGCTGGTTCTCTCAATATTACAAATAAAACTGTGTTTGGGTATTTATTTTTATACACGTAACATTTTATAAAATTCCAAAATATCTGCAAATTAAATAACTTAATCAACAGTTAGGTAACTTTCGTGGGCTACAAACACGATCGCTTCCAGAATTCGAGGCACGTGCACAGTGCACCTCTCAGTCACACAAACTTTCAACAGGCCGTTTATGATTAGTTATAATTAAAATTTGATGTTAATAACGTAATTTTTATGTTTTACAGGAAATTCATTCTGATTGTCCGATACCGAAAGTCTTAAACGGGCTCCTTCAAGGGATTAAAGCTATAAATCCGTGTAAGAGCCCGGGAGAAGAGAAAGAAAGCAGTTGCTGACTGCGAGGACCTGACTGCCTGAGTCATGACAGGTATGATTGTCGTAAAGATTTATAGTTACTGAATCAACATGGTTTATTGCAGTGAACAGTGAAATTACCATTGCAATTATAAGCCATTTTCTAGCTAACTCCATTATAGTACCTCCTTCACTCATCCATTGGCATATTTATCACATAGTCAAGATTTCATGGTTTATAAACTGCTACTTAGTGTACAGGCTTTGTGAGAAGTTAGTCCAGTATATACCAGTGTGGATGTATGAGGTTGACACTATATAGCTTTACCTAGATTCTGCTCATGTTAGTCTGTCATAACACCCGGCTAGCAAGTACTTTTCACCACTTCCCACGCTACGTTTATTGCTAGACTTAACAGCCTTTCTCGTTCGCCGATTGCTCAAAACACTGCAAGGGGTCTTTGGGCCTATTGCAGCCTCCTTTATTCTTATGTTAATCAGCTTATGGTCTCGATCCCGTCCTGGCAGAAATCTTATTTGTAATTACACGAGTACACTGTACACTTATCAAGCCCGAAAAATACCGTGTTTTGGAAATGGCTTGGGGTCCTCTTGAAGGGCATTTACTGTGGAATAACACGGCAGTTAATTTGATACGAGTTATTAATTCCAGAAGACATGTTACTGCAGTGGAATTGTTAAAGGAAGCCAGAGTTACGAAATCGTGACGTCACTTATCGTGCACACGAAAGTGACACCAACGCAGGACGCCGCAGGAGACTTGGCACACTTGTTTGACTCGATGAGTTGCCTATAGTATCCAGATAAAAAATTATTGTACAATTTTATTATATTTTTTCATTTATATATAGCGAATATATTACAACAGATTATTCATCCCTAGTTAATTCAATATGTGTGATACTTATTGTAATGTCTTATTAATAACAGGTGCTTATTATCAAGTAATTTACCTACCTACCACACTACACTTGTTTCTCCACAATTCAATTAAATTTAAAGACATTAGCCATATGATGCCTAAACACGGCAGTTTAGTCAAGCAAGAACATAGAATTTGTTTACATATTCCTTATTCTATGTTTAATAACTATAACGTTTACACTAAATATATTTGTTTTCAAATTACTTAATTACCATAAGTCACTGACATTACCATCACACCAAGCATAAATATTATCAAATAATGTATAAGGATATAACAAAATAAAAGATATCATTACGATGATAATTGGACTATTAGTGTCTGATGAAGGATTTATGAGAGCTTCAGTGAACAAGGAGAGAGGTCTTCTCGAGTCCTCGCGGATAATGCCACTAGGCAACTCGAGGGTGAGTGGTGGTGTGTAGCAGCGACTTGGGACCACTCAGCCACTGTTGTGTTGTGGTTGAGTGCTGGGAGGATGAGCGTGTTGTCTGTCCAGCTCTAGTGGTGCTACTACTGCAACTTGAACACAACAACTACAATTAATAAGCCTCAGTGACAATTTATCGACTAACTTTCTGTATCCAACCAATGAAAACTGATACTGTGGTGGATTTCACAGGTAGTGGATGAAGCATCAGCAAGTGGTTTGGCCTGGCCTTGTGGACGCGTGTGTTACCACTACGTCTGTGGGCGTGTGTGTGTGTAAGGGAATCCCAGCAGACTCTAATTCTCATTCATTCATCATGAGGTGAGTGGCTGACACCTGTAACCCTGTATATTCAGATCAAGGATTTTGTTTACAGGTAACCAATGTACTGGTGTATTGTCATAAAGGCGGCATAGATATGTTCAGTAATATCGTCATGCCAAGTTCACATTGGTGCAGCATGTATTGTACCTAAACAATGGAGGTAAACAAACTGGACATACATACGTAGGAGGTAAACAAACGACATACATACGTAGACACTGAAAGTTCACAAACAACCTTAAAAATCGATTTGAAAAGATAGGCAGTTTTGTTTTTCATCTTTATGCTATAACAAGAACGAAGGACATTTTAATAGTATGCTAACCATTTTTGGGTAATTGTTTATTTTTTACTTATCCATCATAACTTTGATCGAGGCTTTCTTTTAAAAGAAAAGTTAATTTTCTCCTAATTGGGACTAGTTAAATGTCGAAAGAAAACTACTTGGAAAATATTATGCATGAAGTGTTAAGTCAGTATCGATGCGTCGTCTTGTAAATAGGGAGACGTCGTGGAGGCTGGCTGTATCATGTATATCTCCTTGGTGGTAAAGTAAAACTTATCAACCAAACTTGAACCTCCTGATTATACGAAACTCAGAAATGGACTTAAAAAAAGTGGTAGTAAATATACAGGTACTTTAAAAAGTGGTAGGCTTTGCCTCTGATGACAGTGGGGTCGAACCACAGATATATACATTACTCAAATAAAACAACACAGTACAGTACTAGGTTGCTTCCGCCTGCTAACCGACATCAATGTTGGATTTTGTCAGTTCGCAGGCGTCGGAGGACACGGTCTAATTGTCATTTCCGTAGTAAATCCCTTTTGTTTTTCATCGTATTTTCGACCGGGATCCGATAGATACAAATTCATTCAAGTAAAAAAAAATAAGTTAAGATAAATTCGTTGGCTGTAAAATAGTGGTAGCAGTGCGGGACATGAGTGCACTGAGTCACCGCCCCGCCCCCAAGGCTCTTCCTTTAGCTCAGACCTGTTTACTCTCACAGTGGGAGCCTGACGCTACCACACAGCTTTTGTTTTGTCCCAGATGGTGTGTAACTACAAGTTTATATTTGCTATCCCTTCCTTTTGAAGTTTATAATTGAATGAAGATGGTAACTGCACAATATATAAGTTGGATAATGGTGCAATAAGTACGTTGCTATAATGTTAGGTGATTGAAGCCTGAAATTATTACTATTTTTTTCCCTGGCTACAGGGATTTCGTAATCGGTATGTCTTTTTGCTTGTTATCGATTGTAATCTGTAATCTTGTTTTTAGACGATTAATTTATATATCAATATCAACTGGAAATTTAAGGAAACCGTACAAATGGTGTGTGTGTGTGTGTGTTAAAAGGATTACGTGAAATCCCTAGTTTTATGTATCAGGGGTTAGCTAAAATCCCTAGTTATAGATTCCCTAAAACGTATTTGTACCGTATTTGGTTGGATGATTACAAATGTCGAGAGTGTTCGCTTCGGAGAGTTTCTGGCAGATTTATGGCGCACTTTTTGATATAGCTTATCCAATGGGATGTGTTAGTTTCCAGGGGGGTGGGTGCGTCAGTTTCCAGGGGGATGTGTGTGGGTGCGTCAGTTTCAGGGGGTGGGTGCGTCAGTTTCAGGGGATGTGTGGGTGCGTCAGTTTCAGGGGATGTGTGTGGGTGCGTCAGTTTCCAGGGGGTGGGTGTGTGTTGGGATGTGTGTGGGTGCGTCAGTTTCAGGGGATGTGTGTGGGTGTGTCAGTTTCAGGGTGGGTGTGTCAGTTTCAGGGGGTGGGTGTGTCAGTTTCAGGGGATGTGTGTGGGTGTGTCAGTTTCAGGGATGTGTGTGGGTGTGTCAGTTTCCAGGGGTGGGTGCGTCAGTTTCAGGGGATGTGTGTGGTGTGTCAGTTTCAGGGATGTGTGTGGGTGTGTCAGTTTCAGTGGGTGCATCAGTTTCAGGGGTGTGGGTGTGTCAGTTTCAGGGGGTGGGTGTTTGGGTGGGTGTCAGTTTCAGGGATGTGTGTGGGTGTGTCAGTTTCAGGGGGGTGTGTGTGGGTGTGTCAGTTTCCAGGGGTGGGTGCGTCAGTTTCAGGGGATGTGTGTGTGGGTGTGTCAGTTTCAGGGGTGGGTGTGTCAGTTTCAGGGGATGTGTGTGGGTGTGTCAGTTTCCAGGGGGGTGGGTGTTTCAGTTAAAAGAGGGATGTGCGTTAGTAACAAACGACGAGCCTAATAGTTGGGGGTCGCCGGAGATACTGTAGTATTTCCTACAGAAAGATAGAAACGTTATATTTCAAGTCGTATAGTTCTTATTTACACGGGAAAAAATAATTACGCAATGATATTTAAAGTTGAAAATAAACATAAATTCGAGGTGGTGTTTTTTAGTAAGTATCTTTTAGTCGAGAGTTTGATAATTTCCTTTCAACATTCAGCTGGGTTGTAGTGGCTGTACAGTGTATGAGTTTGGACAACCAGTAGCAGCAGTCTGGTTGACCAGTAATTTACGCATTTTCATCTAGGATTGTGTGAAGAAATAGACACTCGCATTGAGGGAAGCAGAGCACCTGCTTAGGACGAGTTTTTACACACAGTATAGCAGGTGAGAGCTGGTTGGTGGTGGTCACGTTAGTCACCCCACACTGCGCCACAGTGAAAGTGCATCACTGGGAGGAAATTCCAGCCGGAGCACGACAACGTGTTTTGATTGCTAATGTGCAGCAGCGGCCACTACTGAGAAAGGCTAACAATATTTTGAGTGTACGTATATTGGTTTCATTTCAGTAACTTACAGTATTTTGTTTGTTTAAAGAGTTTAAGAAGCCACGTGCATATCCTTCAAGGCTTCTGCAGATGAGTTCAGTTATCAGATTGCTTTAGTTATTTACTTTATTTTTCGGACAATTTGTCCAGAGGCGAGGTAGTACAGTATTTTGCCTCGATAGTAGACCGTATTGTGTTTGTTATACGGGTAACATTTAACTTGAATTCTAATGCAGTTAATCAGGGTGTACCTTGTACTCTCTCTCTGTGTACTGGTTTGTAAATAATAACTAGAATGATGTTGCCTCTTTCTCTGCTGGAGGCGGTAGGTCAAGAATACCCACGGGTATGTGCGTGTGTATACGTAATAATGATAATTAACGGTTTATTGGGAGAACATGGCAGCCGAAGGGGTGAAAATGTACAATAAACAGATGGTAAAGGTTAGGTACATAATTATGTTGAAATAGGAGAGTAGGTCACATAATTATGTTGAAATAGGAGAGTAGGTCACTTGATTGACAAAAGCTTTCATTACAAAAAGAGAAGAACCTTGGAGTAAATATACATATATGGATCTGGTAGTATAATCAGTAGGTATAAAGGGTCAGTCTTGTCAACTGTATTGCGGGATTAATTTATGGTACCATACTGGATCATATATGTGTTGAAGCAGGGAGTGGTAATTGTTGCCCGAGTGATGGGGTGTGGGGGTGACTTGTGAGTATTGAATCCACCTTTTATTTATTTTTCTTATTTCTTGTATACACATATTGATACAGACGTTGGTCTACAACTTCGTGTTTCCTCCTCAACACCAGATTATCAACGATTCATTTAGAACCGTGTCTCCTTTTGTATTGAAAGCCATTGTTATTTTTTTTTGTCCATTGTATATTTTTCACCTCTGGCTGCTGTGCTTTTCAATAAAGCTTTGATAATTAAGATTATTATCATCATCATTATTATTAGAGCGTATTTGGGGCTGCTAACGCAGCTGGCTGAGCCAGCCTTCCCCTTCCTTCATCTCATCTCCCCACCAGGGTTTATCAACATCCTCCACCCCTTTAACAACAGAGTAAAACGACGATTAACTTAGATATACAAGTGACACTTTAAATTCGAAAAGAATAAAGCAAAGTGTTGGAGAGTGACGAGTTGGTCCTCCACGGTCACTGCCGAGACCTCACCAGCCAGGTCCCAGTCGTTGACCCTCATAAACAAAGGATAGACTCCAGCTACACCGGGGGAAAATGAGGACTCCCCGGCAAGCATGCTAAGTGAGAAACAAGAACACTTCAACACCCTGTGTGAGCTGGGAGACCTCAGGACCCGTGATAGGTGTAAAACAAGGAGCAGATTGTGACCACCTGGAGAGGTGAAATGACCAGAGAACTATCATGGCACTTATAAGTAAAAGAAACCTGCTGTACTGTGGGATGGGAGTGATCTTGTCAGAGCCATTTAACAGACCAGCAAGACTCCGCTGCATGATGACAACATTTACCTCAGGATAGCAAGTACGAGAACTTCATTGTTAGACGCGAGTTAGTAATTTACAAGTGATCGCGGGCCCTTCATTGCCTTGCTGTGAAAGTTTGAACGCTCGTGACAGCGTACAGCGAATGAGGGTGCACCAAGTCCGTAGACTTGCATCATTTCCTCATCGTAAATAAAATTTTTAATTAATGCCTTCTTAAAGAAACCATCGACATGGGACCAGGTTTGTTCCACTGTACAATTTGTTTGCGATTTTTCCACCAAGTTTGATGAAAAACGATTGTGCCGTTTCGGCTGCCCAGAACAGACAGACAGACAGACACACTGCTAGTCCTAAAGTATATTAGATTAGAAAACTATTTGGGTCATGAAGATTAGGAACCCCAGTTTAATTCCCCGAATGCTATTTTTTTACAGGGATTAGCTCAGCCGGGCACAGGTAAATAAAAATTTATAATACAAAATACAAAATTGAAAGTAAAATAATAATAATAACACTGCAATAATAATAATAATAATAAAGATATACAAAAATGAAACAAAGATCAAAAGTGAGAAATGATATACCTGTACTGTATGCTTGTTGTGTTGTCAATAGTAAGAGAAACAATTTGAGACCCTGCAATTGTGTGTAAATGAGGCAGAAAGTCAGATCAGCAACCTGGGTCTTGGTAAAAAATTTCGCGATGCCATATAGCAGCAGGGTCTACCATTAACCTACCCCCTGCCAGGTAACACTGAGGTGTG